TCAACCAATCCACGAAATTGTGCGACCATCTTTCATTGTACTGAGGTAGATATTTGTCTCTACTCTACACGAATTAGCTCCACTGGTCACAGCATCTCACTAAAACTTCGAGAATTTATTCACGAAGCTATTCACTAATGAGCATATATGTTAATCATCAGTATAGGGGTTGTGGAGATTATTAAGCTTTCGATTGAGATCATGAACCAAAACGGTCTTCCAGTGCTTCCAGGTTTCCAAAGGTGGTCTAACATCATTCTCTTCCTTGATCTCAATCAGAAACTTAATAACCTTGATAACCCCTATGCTGATGATATTTTTTCTTTAGTTTTAATGATTCATTAGCAGTGTACATCCATAATCATGCACGCGGAATTCGAACACAGTATCTTGGGTCTTACATGAGAACGCTTATTCTCTAGATTACTGAACTATTCAGCATCCAATAACGTTAATGTCTAACTTTAATCGATATACCATTCATCATTATCTTTAATGTGTTACTGTCTCAATACAGACTTTGTTGAACTGCTACACTCTTGAGATCATGGAGAAGATTTGTAGTTCAGGTGAATGATTTCAGATAAAGCTCAGAGAATAAAACTCCATGAAAAACTGCTACAATCTTCACAAACCTACCATTTCTGATTATTTCGTTAACTATGTCTAAGAATTCCGCCTGTTATTCTGAAGTTAGAATAAATAAAGTATATGCATTTGTCATGTAAGTGCAGAAAAAATCGATATAACTTAAAAACAGCACCGAATTAAAGTGCAAGTTGAAGTTATTTACCCTTTAAACTAGTGTTGATCACTTGAATCCATAAAAACCTATATCATTCAGTTAGTTAATTTATATCCAGAATTCAGTCAACAATCGGGACTGAGCACTTAGTTTCTAACGATAAGCTAATTACTGGTAGGTCCATAAGTTTATTCTTATATGTCAATGATTTATGTACAATTCCTTGTTGAGTATTGAATGGAAGCTCTTGAATTATTCATAATTGTAATTAGATAATTATGTGATAATCTTTGATATTAGTCTGAAATCAAAGCCTATTTTCTTACTGAACGAATCACGTTATCCACTTAGCTACTGAGTCCTGTTAGCCACTTTCTTGTGCAATAGGGTAAAATTTAAATTGATTTGGTGTTTTTGATTAAGATCTTGAACTGATTGATGTTAGACCACTATTGAAAACCTGGAAAGATTAGACTACAGTTTCGTCCTACTGTGGGACTCCTCAACAATGCAATTCTCATTCCCGAGGCCTTTAGTCTCACTCACGAACGCTTAAACTCTACACTACTGAGTCGGCCATCATTTCACGGTGTTAATGTCTAACCTCAACTAATTCACAAAATTGAGTAACCATCGTCCATTGTCTTTAAGTAGATACCTTTCTCTACCCGATACGGATTATCTCCACTGGTCACAGTTTCTCACTAGAATTTCGAGAATCCCCTCACAAAGCTAGTCACTAGAGAGCACATAGTACTTATCACTATCCAGTTATGTAACTTATAATATTATTGGTTGAGATCATGAACCGATTGATATTAGATCACCATTGACTATAGTCTTAGTTTTTGGAAGAAGTATACACCCTAAGATCGATTCCTTCTTCAAGTCTTCATTAGATCATAAATTAGGAAAATAAGATTATCCAATACATTTTATGATTATGATTTGACAAATTCATTAACTGATTCCCGCATGGTATGCACTTTGAATAGTTCTTGTTAAGATAGTGTTTTTTTTCAAAGATCATTTCAATTGATAAATGATTTCAATCATATTACGTCACTTTGTATTTGATTAGGCTAAGACTGATAAAATGAAAAAAAGAACAACGTACGATTACACAACACATTAGTGAAGTGATTGCTTCTTATAATGTCTAGTTTGGTTATGTTTGAAAAATATTACTTACGCCTGTTACTCCTCGTGGAAGAGTATAGGCCATCCATCAGCATTTGCCATCTAACCCTGTCGTGGGCAATTCTATTCCAGCTCTTTCCAGTTGTTTTTCCTCTTTTTCGTATTGACTTCTAAGTTTCGATGTAATGCTGTTTTCTGTTTCGATTCAGAATTCCAAGTTGGAGCATGCCTTGTGATGAAATTTAATGATTTCTTCAATGTATGTCTTATCCACTTCCAATGTCTTTTCCTAATTTCCGCATCAACTGGAAGTTGGTGGATTGTTGCTCATGGTATCCGGTCAACAGACATTAAGTATCCTACGTAGATAATTGTTTATATATATTTGTATCTTTTTGATAATAGTTGTGGTATTTTTGCATGTTTCAGTTCCATACAGTAGAACTGTGTTGACATTTGTATTGAAGATTCTCATTTTCATATAGGTTTACAGACGGCTTTTTGAGTTCCATATATTCTTCAACTGTAGGAATGCCGCCCTTGATTTGCCAATTCTCGCTTTTACGTTTGCATCTGGTCCTCCTTGTTCATTGATGATACTTCCCAGATACGTGAAGGATTCCGCATCTTCCAGAGTTTTGGCATCAAGTATGATTGGGTTGGTCTTCTCCTTGTTGTGTTTGAGGATGTTGCTTTTTGCTTTGTGTATGTCGAGGCCTACTGATGCAAATGCTGCTGTTTGAAAAATATGGAAAATTATTATATTAAAAAAGAGCTTCTTCATAGATCGACATAAAATAATGATTATTAGTTAGACAGCCATTATAGACCAAGAAGTACTGAATAGTCAGTTAAATCTCAATAGTGTGTATCTGTCATCCTACAGATAGTAGAAGCTAGGATAGGCTCATGATGCGAAACTGTGAAAGTTCAACAAACTCCCATGTCAAAAGGAATAATTCATGAGTATTGTTATTATTAGTCAGAGAGAGGTTTTGTGGACATTATAATAATTTAATGGTTAAAAGCATGAGTCAATTGAAGCTAGATCACCATGGATAACGTGGGAGCACTGAACGGCGGTTTCATTCCAATATGGGACTCCTCAACAGTGCGCATACACGATTATGCCTAGTGAAATTCAAATCCATGACCTTTCGGTGTTGCACGCGTGAACATTTAACCTCTAGACTACTGAGCTGGCTAATATCCAACGGTATTAGTATCTAACTTGCTTTTTTCAATTTGTTCGCACTGTCTAGTGCAAATTCATGTTGAGTGTGAAGTTATTAACTATCAAAGACATTAGAAGAAGTTTGCTCAATGTTTTAGTCTGATTAAGGTTAGATATTAACACTGGTGGTCTAAAGGTTAATTGTTTTCGGAAGGGACCAAAGTTTCTGTGTCCGATTTTCGGATGCACTTTTCTGAGGAGCCTTATACTCGGACGAAACGGACGTTAAGTGATTCCAGGTATTTAATGACGGTCTACCATTGATCAGTTCGTGATTTCTTGCTTGTTTCCATCTATTTTGTTTTTATTCACTGAATGTAATGTAGTATACCTTTGGCTTTTCTATTTTTATTACTTACATATATCAGAAACCTTAACCAAGCTATTTATTATCCTGTTTAGTTCCAACTACCAATAACGTATATGTTAGGTAGAATATTCACTATTTTCATGGGTTTTTATGTTTATCTTTTCCATTTTTGTAAGGTTAAGATAGACCAGCACAAACAATACTTCCATAGATTTAACCTCTTTGTAAAAATTAAGTAAATGACTTCATTTTCAATAGTTGAAATCATGAGTCACTTGAAGAAAGACCACCATGAATAACCTGGAAGCACTGGACGGCTGTTTCGTCCTATTGTGCGACTCCTCAGTAGTGCGCACCCATGATCTCACTAGCGGGATTCGAACCCAGAATCTATTAAACTCAAGTGAACGAGCGCTTAACCTTTAGCCCAATGAGCCGGCCGGTAACCAACGGTATTAATGTATTTCGTCAACTAATCCACCAAATTGAGCGACACATTCATCATTGTCTTCATCAGTGAGTTACTATCTCACTCTACTGGTCGTTGCTTCTCACTAGAACTCCAAGATATACCTGTTGAAGTCAGTCACTAGTGAGCATATGTTTTTATTTATTAATCATTGAGTAGAAACCAAATGTCATCTTTCCTTGATCCTTGATATTCATCGAATTCTATTTGCTAAGAATGATACTACCAGTCTATACTCAATAGTAAACACAATTGTGTATACGTACATAGGAATTACGAACTGATATAGATTTCTATTGAACAAATAAACTTATCCCAATACATATAGGGATTGATATTAATGAAAATTTGTTGCATGGAATAAGGATTTCATAGGGGTAATGTTTGGCAGAACTAGCAACTAGCCATCTTTACTTAAAAAACTTGTGACTTAAAGCAATATCGAGACAAACCGCACAGGATGCACATATGCCAACAAAAGACTGACCAATTATAGTCCTAAACAACAATAGGAAGATACAAGCAAACAACACCAAGTGAATTTAAACTTCACTCTATTGCACAAGTAGGTGGCTATCAGGACTCAGTAGGTGAGTGGATAAAGCGATGACATTTGGATCGGACGGTACTGGGTTCGAGTCCCAGAGTGAACATTAAGACTGCGATGCAGGTATATTCAGCTGACGAGTCCCAAACTGGACGAAACGCGCGTCAAACTGGATTCCACTGCTATCCACTATCCATCTAAACTGTATTACGATTTGGCAAATATACGTAAATCCTATTCTAAACATATCATAGTACATTTTAAACCATATAAAAACCAAAAAAAAAAGAAAATTATGACTAAGTAAAATAATCATCTTCTGCCTCCATTCCCGTCCCCCTCCCACACCTTTCACACTTCCTCTTTGTTGAATATGAAAGTTGCTTAGCCCGATTCTAACTTGTTGTCTTTCAAGATAAAACTTATCAGGATCGTCAACAAAACACAACCCGATTAATGGCAACATAATCCATTGATATCATATGTGGACAGCTAATCGATAAGGCTTGTATATATATATATATATATATATATATATATATATATATATATATATATATATATAACTTTCACAGTATGGAATCCCCATACACTTCAAGGGTCGAATCGACAGAATACAAAGAATAAAGTAAAAATAAAAGAAAGAAAAAAAAGAGAAACAAAATGAAAAAGATAAAAATAGAAGAAAAGTCAAATTGTTTATTACCATTCAAGTGCACTTTATGTTGTCATATGATTTTGTAAACGCACTTATATAATCGTTAGCGTGTATATCATTGTGTAGTTAATGTTAGCTTATTTGAAATAGGGCGAACATATATATCTATGTATATACATAAATATATGATGTTCATTTCATTGATAAAATGTAGGTTTAATCTATTTACTTTTAAAATAGCAAGGCGGTTTCTATTTACGGGGGTTTTCTGAAAATTTGACATGAAATTGAATCCATTCCATCTTTGAAGGTAAAGATGATGGTGATGATGATGATGATGATGATGATGATGATGATGATGATGATGATGATGATGATGATGATGATTTGGATGATGATGATGATGATGATGATGATGATGATGATGATGATGATGATGATGATGATGATGATGATGATGATGATGATGATGATGATGATGATGATGATGATGATGATGATGATGATGATGATGATGATGATGATGATGATGATGATGATGATGATGATGATGATGATGATGATGATGATGATGATGATGATGATGATGATGATGATGATGATGATGATGATTTGGATGATGATGATGATGATGATGATTTGGATGATGATGATGATTTGGATGATGATGCTTTGGATGGTGATGATGATGATGATGATGATTTGGATGATGATGATGATGATTTGGATGATGATGATGATGATGATGATGATGATTTGGATGATGATGATGATTTGGATGATGATGATGATGATGATGATGATGATGATGATGATGATGATGATGATGATGATGATGATGATGATGATGATGATGATGATGATGATGATGATGATGATGATGATGATGATGATGATGATGATGATGATGATGATGATGATGATGATGATGATGATGATTTGGATGATGATGATGATGATGATGATTTGGATGTTGATGATGATTTGGATGATGATGATGATGATGATTTGGATGATGATGATGATGATGATGATGATGATGATGATGATGATTTGGATGATGATGATGATGATGATGATGATTTGGATGATGATGATGATGATGATGATGATGATGATGATGATGATTTGGATGATGATGATGATGATTTGGATGATGATGATGATGATTTGGATGATGATGATGATGATTTGGATGATGATGATGATGATGATGATGATGATGATGATGATGATGATTTGGATGATGATGATGATGATTTGGATGATGATGATGATGATTTGGATGATGATGATGATGATTTGGATGATGATGATGATGATGATGATGATGATGATGATTTGGATGATGATGATGATGATTTGGATGATGATGATGTTTTGGATGATGATGATGATGATGATGATGATGATTTGGATGATGATGATGTTTTGGATGATGATGATGATGATGATGATGATGATGATGATGATGATGATGATGATGATGATGATGATGATGATGATTTGGATGATGATGATGATGATGCTTTGGATGATGATGATGATGATGATGATGATGCTTTGGATGATGATGATGATGATGATGATGATGATGATGATGATGATTTGGATGATGATGATGATTTGGATGATGATGATGATGATGATGATGATGATGATGATGATGATGATGATGATGATGATGATGATGATGATGATGATGATGATGATGATGATGATGATGATGATGATGATGATGATGATGATGATGATGATGATGATGATGATGATGATGATGATGATGATGATGATGATTTGGATGATGATGATGATGATGATGATTTGGATGATGATGATGATGATGCTTTGGATGATGATGATGATGATGATGATGCTTTGGATGATGATGATGATGATGATGATGATGATGATGATGATGATGATGATGATGATGATGATGATGATGATGATGATGATGATGATGATTTGGATGATGATGATGATGATGTTGGTCTATTCAGAAATTTAACTATTAAAATTACAAAAAATCTCTACAAATCTCTATCCGGATAAAAATTAATTATTTTCAGTATGATTATTACACCCTTTCCTATTGTCTTCTCATAATTATAATTTTTCAGTCAGTCAGTCAGTCAGTCAGCAACAACAACATAGAACTTCCTATGTACGTACATCAGTTCAAGTTGACATATCACATTAGCATAGAGATACAATTATCATTCAAATCCCTTAGTGAAAGAGGTAGTAAAAGTATTAACAGTAATCGAATAGATTAGAGTTTGAAGATGCTATTCAAGGAGTATAATCCACTGAAACTTCTCACCATCTCTACTATCTATAGCCATTTATTTTAACATATAAATACTTGTCAATCTTAACTGTATTTCATCATGTTGTATCACTGTGAAATATGATTTTGAACTTTGTTTCACTTATCTATCTCCACTTCATCAATTAGATCTAGGACAGTGACAGTACACGTCATAGCCCCCAAATGCCCTGGTATGGCCGAGAGTGGGGAGAGTTCGCTCTCCCTCTCCAAATGCCCTCACACGGCCACGCGTATACAGCCTCTGCCAGGGAAGTCCTATTCATTGAATTCTGGCACCACGGTTGTTGTTCACGAAAATGAGAGGACGAAAAGCGAATGTCCGGCACCGGCTTTAACCGGATCCCAAACCAATGGTGCACATGAGATGGCCCCAGTATCCCGAGGGAACAAATGGTGTATGAACCAATCGTTGGTCATCGGCTTCCATGGGATTGCATCTACTCACGATTCTCCACTGCCTTGTGGGTTAGACCTTTAGGTTGAAGGCTCTGGCTGTGGCCCCCTATGAAAACCACCTGCTTTGGTTTGGGCACCCGGACAGTATCACAGCCCACACAGAAATAAAATAAAAATTTGTGTGGTGCATATATATTTGGTGCCCTCTTCTACTAATATTTGTGTTCAAATAAAAATAAATAAATAAAGTACATATCATAGTCATATGTCAGTTCAAAGTAATACCATAGAGTACATGGCATATACATATATATTTGTGTACCAGTCAAAGTTTCCATATTACATTAGAACAGTTCAATAAGACTATACGAACAAATCTTAGAGCAGTCGAAGTAAGAATAGTGTCATTAATCACAGAAAAGATTAAGTGTATACAAAGCAAAACTTTAACTGATTCTTGGTTATGCCACCGACTTCTACCAAACATGAATTATGTTAATTAACAAAATGCTTATTAAACAGTCTCTGTATTTGCTAATATGATTCAGTTCAACCTTTCATTATTTCAACTGACTCATGATCTTAACCATTGAAATTACTATCATATCCACAAAAACCCCTTCCGATAATAATCAATATATGCTTACTAGTGATTGACTTCAACCGGTATATATCCTGGAGTTCTAGTGAGAACCAGTGACCAGTGGAGTTCAACCAAGTCTGTTATGAGATAGTAACTCATTGATGAAGACAATGGTAGATGTGTCACTCAATTTTGTGGATTAGTTAAAATTAGACATTAACATCATTGTATGCTAGCTCAGTGGTCTAGTTGATTCAGCGCCTGGCACGAGACTAATAAATGCCGGGTTCGAATCTCGCAGGGGTCGGGATCGTGGATGCGCACTACTGAGGAATTCTACAATAGGACGAAATGACCGTCCAGTGTTTCCAGATTTTCTATGATGGTAGTCTAGCTTCAATTGACTCATGCTTTCAACTATTGACATTATAATTCATTACTTAACATAATACATGAACAGGTTATCATACATTACAGTTTTATTCTTTATATCTATATATCTCTTTTTCAGGTTATTATTATATAATAGACCTAATGAAATCAATCAATACCAATCAATTCAATATTGATTACATAATACTATATCGTTTAACTATTATTATTTTATATTCAATTTCATCATTGATTGGTTATTTCTATATTTATCCAAATGATAATGAAGGTATTCAACTATTTCATGTACTTTATCTATTCAAGTTCTTCACATGTATTACAATGGTAATTCATCTTAATAGTAATACTAATACTAATATTGTTCTCTTTTGGTATAGACATTAAATGCAATCTATTTTATAACTTCAATACCATTACAATACTTTAATCTTCATCATATCCGTGGTTATCAATTCTTAGTTGTATTCTCATTTAATTTGGTAAGACTTTATCAATATGTATATATGTGTGTACGTGTGTGTGTGTGTATGTGTGTTTGTGCTTGTGTAATTCATTTAATAATAATCATTATCAATCGTTGAAATCATGAGTCGATTGAAGCTAGACTACCACCATAGAAAACCTGGAAACATTAGACGGTTGTTTCATCCGATTGTGAGACTCCTCAGCAGTGCGCATCTATAATCCTGCTTTGCCAGATTCAAACTCAGGAAATAGTAGTCTCGCGCACGAGCGTTTAACCTACTAGGCCACTGAGCCGGTAAACATCCAACTGTGTTAATGTCTAATTTTAACTAATCCATGAAATTGCTCCAACGTACACGATTGTCTTCAGTGAGTTATTATCTCATGACAGAACTGGTTGAACTCCACTGCTAACGGCTTCTCACTAGAACTCCAGGAAATGCCTCTTGAAGTCAGTCAATAGTGAGCAGATAGTTATTATCAGAAGAGGGTATGTAGGGATTTTAGAAATTTCACTATTTGAAATCATGAGTCAATTCAAGCTAGACCACGATGAAAAACCTGGAAGCACTAGACAGCTATTTGGTCCTAGTATGGGACTACTCAGCAGTGCAATAATCATTATTATTATTATTAATGGCGTAACCAGTAGGTCTTGAGTTTGAATGTTGCAGGGGGTGAATTCGTGGATGCGCACTGCTGATGAGTTACACAATAGGACGAAACCACCATCCAGTGCATCCAGATCTTCTATGGTGGTCTTGCTTCAACTAACTCATGACCTCAACTGTTGAAATCATATCTCGGGTGCAATCTAGAATTCTCAGCATAAAGTATTTCAACAAGTTTCCTTTTCTTATATCTCAATCGATCCTGACGATAAATATTGAGTGATGGCCAGTTAGATGTTAGGAGTTCGATAATTGACATCTGAATAATGTTCATTCGTTTCAATGCATATTGCAAACCACCATGATATCGCTGGTTGTACCTTTTTGTAATCCGTACAGCAAAAAATTGTAAACTTTTCATAAACGCGCCTGAATAGGTTGTCAGCTCAATAAACATAATAGTGTGTTAAAACAAAAAAAAAACAGATAACTTGACGAAATATCTAGATGGAAGGAACAAGTAGCCCAGATATTCAAACAGGCCGCCGATTGTATGGATTTTAATGTATTCACATCATATTCTACTAGAAGATAAAGAAGAAGAAACATGTGAATGAAGGCGATGGTTTATATCTGATAAAATAACACCTGCCAAGAGTTAGCATGACTTTAGATGTCTATCCACAATCATATTAATTATGGTCTCGAAAGATTCACCACATAACTTGCTAACTGCCTTCAGCGCTCTCCGCAGTACAGCAAAGTCTTTTCTCAAAAGCCCGGGAAAAAATAACGGAGAACAGTACAGAATAATAGGTAATATGCAAGAATTGACAAATTGTAGGAGTAAATGACGAGTGATCCCAAAGGCATGCAACCTCTTAATGTAGTGTGTCAGACGGAAAACCTTCTTCGATAACAATAAAACGTGAGAAGATCAAGAGAGATCAGAGGAAAAGGTAACACCAAGATAATTGACCGTCGACACTGTGTTTATCAAAGATTCGCCAATGGCACAAGCATTATGAGATCTCAAAAAGGTGTTTAAATGCCGATCATGTCTCATGCTAAAGTTAACAGCTTGACATTTAGACGGATTAAGTAGGAGACCATTAACGACAGACCAGCTATCAATGCGAGATAAAAACTCGTTCATTTCTATAGGATGTAAAGAGGAAGAGATAGGCATACAAACAGTGAGATCGTCTGCATATTTCACGAAAGTGTTTACTGTGGAAGATGGCAGATCATGCAGAAAAACAGAGAAAAGAAGAGGTGAAAGAACAGCTCCTTGAGGTACACCTTCATAAGACACTAGAGACTCTGAACACTTTCCTCCAAACACCGTGTACTGTTCCCTTCCAGAGAGGTAGGAACATAGCCAGTTGGTTATCCAGCTGTCAGTGTTGACGCTGATTAACTTGTTAAGTAAACGTTGCCTTGATATAGAATCAAAAGCAGAAGTATAGTCCAGGAAAGCGCATCGAACATACTTCTTACCCTTTTCTAGGTTGAACACTATATTATGATGCAGAACAGCAACAGCATCGAGGGTGCTTCTTTTGAATCTGTAAGCAAACTGATACTGGTCAATGTGCTCTTTCATCGCAGGCTGAAGTGAAAGTGTCAATAATTTTTCCATTGCTTTGAGGAAGGGTGAAGTTATTGCAATGAGTCTGAATTTCACATTCTTATCACTAGATGATTTCTTGGCTATAGGGATTATTTTCATCTTTCTCCACATTTTCGGTATGAGATTAGAAGAGAAGGATCTATTAAAGATAATAGTGAATGGATAGCATAGGACGTCAGCATACTTTTTTAAAAAGGAGGTTTGGGATATCATCAGGTCCTAAACATCGGGATGAATTTAGTGACTGGAGACATTTTTGGACATCAGTTTTGGTGAAACTAGGAACACAGCTATTTTTTAAACCCGTGAATAAATGGAGTATCACATCAGATGATTAACGTAAAAAAGACTTATTTAACTCACAAACATCCAGCTGGTTATCAGTCCTAATCTGTCAGTCATCTGTAAGTTCTTTAAAGAGTTTTCACATACTTGAAGAGTTTTTACAAGACAGACCGCCTTGTTGATTATCCTCTTTATCCTCTTTATCATCTATTCATAATCTATTTATTCTTAGACAATGATGTTATTCTATTGGAGTGCATTTTTATATGATGTAAAAATGATCTATGAAATTGATGAATTAAAACATATGCCATTATGGTATAATCATTTATGTGTAAGTATTATTTATTGTTTAAATATTATCTTTCATTTATAAGTAGTATGTTATGTACTATTGGAACCAATTCAAAAAATGATCATTGTAAGGATCAATATGAAATGGTAGAGATCAATAAAGTTTTTTTTTTGTTTTTTTTTTGATTAAGATCATGAATCAATCAATATTATTAGATCATTTATTGAAAATTTGGAAGTTAATCAATATCAGTTATAGATAGATATCTATCTCAAAAAAATGGTAAACAATTGATTAAAGTTAAATATTAACATCCTGGAATGCCAATTAGCTCAATGATCTAAAGGTTGAA